TCTTTCTTTCTTTCTTTCTTTCTTTCTTTCTTTCTTTCTTTCTTTCTCTCTCTCTCTCTCTCTTTCCTTCCTTCCTTCCCTTCCCTCCCTCCCTTCTTCCTAGGAATGCATAATGCACCAAGGCAGAATTAAGAAACATTTTGGGTTGTTCTCTGAACCAGGTGAGAAGTCCTTAATAACACCATCCATGCTGAAGAAAAGGTTTGTGGAGGTTTTCTGGAAAAGGAAGAGAGAGAAGGAGAAAAAAAAAACAGTCCTTGTTAGCAACAAACAGTAGATGGCACTGAAACCCCAAGCAGTTCAAAGCTCATCTTCCAACATTTAATGTAGCAATATTCTCAGAACTTTAGCCCTGCTCTCCAGCCTTCAGTGCATTAGAAGCAGGGATCTTATTTAAGAAATAAATAATAATTAGATAAAGCAAGGAACATTGTAATTGCGTGCTCCCGTTGTTAATGTCCTACAAAATCTCAGGCTCGTTGAATATAATATCAGTATCTACCATGGCACTAAGGGTAAAGGGCCGTTCACACAAAGAGGCAAAGTTTGCAATTTTAAGAAATCAGAGATTGGGGCAATAAGTGGTAAATTAGAGAAGCAGCCAACCAAAGTTGCTCTGGGAATGCTCAAAACGAAGATTTTGGAGTATCAAATGCTAGTGAGATGGAATAATTTCTTTTAAGGTAGCAAGACCTGTAAGTAGTCCCTGACTTCTAAGTATTCATTTACCGACCGCCCAAAGTTACAACGGTCCTGAAAGAAGTAGTTTACAACTGATCTTTCGCAAGGGGGATTTTTTTTTTCCTGAGCTCTTGTAAGACCAAGTTCTGCCCAGTATTTATATACGTGCCGCAGTGAGGAATTTAAAGCAGAGAAGAAGAAATTAAGAGCCGAGTGTGTCAAAACAATGACCACAAATGCAACGCTTCCTTCCTTCCTTCCTTTTTCAACAGACTTTATCTCCAAACAAGGGACCGCAGAAACTTCGTAGATGACCCTGCAACCTCTCCGTAGTGACCTGTGAAATATGAAATAGGAGTTTTAATTACAAAAAAAAAAACAGAGAGTGCCTTTTATATGTTTAATATTTAATGCGCTACAGCAATTTGCCGTTCAAAGACAGCCAAGCGTTTCCCATTTTTAAAAATGGTTGTCTTCTCTTTTTCCCTGCTCTCTATTCAGGGTGCAGCTATTCCTCAAAACGTGGGATCCTCCAAGAAAGTTGGATAATACTTGCCTTCTTGGGAATCCCTGTAGCTGGAGACTACTTTTGAAGAGAAGAGGCATGTCACTTCTCTGTCCCACAATGCGACAAGGCTAGGGCATTGTGGGAAATCAAAATAGAATAACAGAGTTGGGAGGGACCTTGGAGGTCTTCTAGTCCAACCCCCTGCTTAGGCAGGAAACCCTATACCATTGCAGACAAATGATTGTCCAATCTCTTCTTAAAGACTTCCAGTGTTGGAGCATTCGCAACTTCTGGAGCCAAGTTGTCCCACTGATGAATTGTTCTCACTGTCAGGAAATTCCTTCTTAGTTCTTGGTTGCTTCTCTCCTTGATCAGTTCTCACTCGTTGCTTCTTGTCCTGCCCTCAGATGCTTTGGAGAATAATTTGACTGCCTCTTCCTTGGGGCAGCCCCTCAGATATTGGAAGATTGCTATCATGTCACCCCTAGTCCTTCTTTTGATCAGACTAGACATACCCAGTTCCTGCAACTGTTCTTCATGTGTTTTAGCCTCCAGTCCCCTAATCATCTTGGTTGCTCTTCTCTGCACTCTTTCCAGAGTCTCCACATCCTTTTTACATCATATACACCAAAACTGGACACAATATTCCAAGTGTGGCCTTACCAAAACATTATAAAGCGGTATTAACACTTCGCGTGATCTTGATTCTGTCCCTCTGTTGATGCAGCCTAGAACTGCGTTGGCTTTTTTGGCAGCTGTTGCACACGGCTGACTACAGGTTCTTTACCAGTCTGATAGCCTCTAGATTATGGTAATTTATTAATTACTTATCAGTTATTAATTATAGTAGTCTAGATTGTGTTGTGTTGTATTTAGATTAGGTTAGATTAAATTAGATGAGGTGACTGGAGTCTAAAAGGTACAAAGAACATTTGCAGGAATTGGGTATATCTAGTCTAATCAAAGGAAGGACTAGCGGTGATGTGATAGCAGTCTTTCCAGCATTTGAGGGGCTGCCCCAAAGAAGAGGGAGTCAAGCTATTCTCCAAAGCACCTAAAGGAAGGACAAGAAGCAACGGGTGGAAATTAAGCAAGGAAAGAACCAACCTGGAACGAAGGAGAAATTTTCTGTTCGGTGTTTTGGATGCCAGCAAAGAAGGAACACACCTACTGTCTAGGAATTCTGGAGTTATAGTCCCCATTCATCTGGAGGTTCTTCGTCAAGGGAAGACGCAATTAGGAAATCAGATAAAGGGATATTAATAATCATAGCTTGAGGGAATATCAATTTGCTTATTATACAATGATCCTGAGGGATGTTTAGGACATTCCAAGGGTGTTTAGATTTAGCCTCAAGAAATGAAACTTGCAAGGATTTTCAAGCTTTGGGGAGGAAAGGAAAAAAAAAAACAGAAGTCAGTGATGGAAGGAGGCAGCAGAAGAAACTCAACCATCCCAGCTCTCGATCATTAAATTGATTTCTCCGTATCCCTCTCCTTCCCTCCTATCCCTCTGAGAATGCTAGATTGGGAACATTACTGCTTTTTCATTTTGTTTTGACACGGCACCTTTAAAATTTCATGCCTGCGCGGGAGAGCTCGTCAAAGTGACAGATAAAAGTTGACATTAATCTCCGCTGTGTCACTCTGGTGACTGGCTGTTTTTGATTTGCCCATTACCCTGTGGGATCATCAGGGAAACGCAAGAATACAATACCGGGAAATTTGGTTACCACGAATGGGGTGCTGTCGAGATGCAACTCTCTGGAGTGATACCGTTTTATTTTGTGCAAATTAAGATAGATAGATAGATAGATAGATAGATAGATAGATAGATAGATAGATGATAGATAGATAGATAGATAGATAGATAGATAGACAGACAGACAGATATGATAGATAGATATGATAGATAGATAGATATGATAGATAATAGATATGGAGATAGAGACAGGTAGGAAGGTAGAGAGGCAGAGAGATAGATAGAAATGAGAGAGAGATGAGAGAATAGAAATGGAGATAGAGATAGAGATAGGTAGGTAGGTAAGTAGATAAATAGGTAGAGATAAATAGAAAGCGATAGATAGATCATAGAGAGGCAGAGAGATAGGTAAATAGAAATGAGAGAGATGAGAGAGAGAATATATGGAGATAGATAGATAGATACGCAAAGAGATAAATAGATAGAGATAGATAGATCATAGATAGGGAGATAATAGAAATAGATTTCAATCTACAGTTCAATGGGTGTCCAGAATTATTTCAAAACTCACTTCCTAGTGTTTATTTTTGACTTTTTGTCAGCATGATTTTAAAACGGGGGGGGGGGGGGGTATTTGGAGGGATTTTGATTAAATCTAGTTCTGCCCAGTTGAGAAATATCTCCCCCACCTATATCTTTCTCCC